CCCTGACATCTCAGGACCGGCCCCTCCCCGTAGAGTGGGGACTGTTGTCATGCCCACATTAAACAGACGGGGAAACCGAGGCACGGGGGACTTTGGGCGCACGTCGGGAAGGCGCAGAGGGAGGGGCCGCGGGGGTGCCCCGCTCGGGGAATCACCTTCGGCACCGCGCTGGATCACCGCAGCGCGGTACCCGCCGGGGCACAGATCACTGGTAGCCTCGAGTCTTAGGTCGTTCGCAAGATGTGGGAGCAGGCCCGCCGTTGTTGTCCAAGCACTCGTTGGTGCCTGGTGCCGGGCCGGGGGACACCACATCGGGTCACCCTCACGGCTTCCGAGGGTCCCTTCCCTGCCACCCTGTGCTATTTTGCCGCATCCTTATCCCCAACCCCGCAATGAAAAATATATGATATGAGGGAGGCCGTAGGCGGGCGGATGCTCGAGGTCCAGGGAGTTCGCAAACCGAGCCTGAGCAGAAGAAGCGAGACCCCGTCTCTCTATAAGTAAATAGAAAAAAATAATTGGCACACTAATTATATAGTGAAAAATTAGCCGGCGCATGGTGCGCTAATGCCTGTAGTCCCAGCTACTCGGGCAAGGCTGAGCCACGAGGCAGAAGGATTGCTTGAGCGCAGGAGTTTGAGGTTGCTGTGAGCCAGGCTGGACACCACGGCACCTCACTCTAGCGCTGGCGCGACAAAAGTGAGACTCTGTCTCAAAAAAAAATTTTCAAATAATCCTATAATAATGCATATGTAAAATAAAAATTATAACGACAATGACAAGAAACCAGCCCCACCTGGCGCACGTTACCGTACAGATACGTATTCCATACAGTTGATTCTCTAATACGGTCGTTTTCTCTAGGAGGAAGTCTCGACGCAAAATATCTTGAACAGTCTACTCACTGGGGTCGACAGAGGTGTGGGCCGGGGCACTTTATAAGCCGTCGCAGTTGGTTGGTGTCCGTTCCAACAGCTCTAGGCTAGGCTGCGCAGAACAGCAGCGCCAGGTCCGAGGATGGGAAAACTGAAGGCTCAGAAGTGAAGCTGCTTTTCCCCAACCCAAACCGCCGTGCAGCACCAATGTCTGCCGCCAGAGCCGATGCCCGCTCGCCTCCATGGCGTGGGCAGGTGGCGTCCGCCAGAGCCCCACTGCCGAGTCACATCCGTCCCCGTCCTGGCGCAAGCTGCCTGCAGCCCCCGCCGCACGTCACCGCACTCCTTGATGGGCTCGTCCGACCAATCCCGGCAGTCCCTGACCAAGTTGCACACTTTGTCCAGGGTGATGCATTCGCCGCTGTGGCACTTGAACTTGTTGGGCCCTTCGCACAGCGTCACTGCGAGAGCCAGACAGAGGAGGGTCAGTGCCAGCAGTGTGCTCCGCGCTCTAACGGGACAGTCCCCCCACACGAGAACACGTGCAAATGTACCCATTACTGAAGCCTGATGAGTATGTAACACCCGGGAACCCACCAATCAGCTTAAGAATTAGAACGTCACCCTGGGAAACTGGGCCCCGCCTCCCAGAGCCAAAAGAGTCCACCGTTTGTTTATTTAAATAAAGTTTTATTGGCACACAGGCATGGTGGCCATTCATTTACAAAGGGGTCTGTGGCTGCTGTCAGACCACCCAAAGCTGAGGATATTTCCTATCTGGCCCTTTATGGTAAAACACTGCCGACCCCTAGCCTTGACTATCAGGGGGGACTTTTCCCGACACTTCCCGCTACCCACAGAGGTAACCATAATCTTGAATTCTATGTTTACCAATTTCTTTTCTTTTTTTTTTTTTT